TGACTTTGTCAAAGTGTTATTTTTGCCTCCTAACACTACATCAATTGTGCAGCCAATGGATCAAAATGTAATTAGCAACTTCAAGAAGCTGTACACAAAGAAAATGTTCAGAAGGTGTTATCAGGCAACTTCCACTGATCCTGATCTATCACTGGCACAGTTCTGGAAGATGCAATACATCATCTCGGAGGCTGTAAAATTGATCGTGTCAGCATGGCAAGAAGTCTCCATTCGAGCCCTGAATTCTGCATGGAAAGCACTGTGGCCAACAGCAGTCCATGATTTTGAGGGATTTGAGGAAGAATCGGAGTTGGACCAGGAAATTGTGTCTATTGGTCAGTCAATGGGACTCGAAGTGAAGGAGGATGATGTTGAGGAGCTTGTGATGTCTCATGAGTAGGAACTTACTCCTGAAGATTTGAAACAACTGGATGAGATGCTAGAAACAGACAGTGGTGAGGAGGAAAAGGAAAGTGATAACTATATGTCTTCTTCAGACTTAAAAGATGTTGTTCACTACTGGGAGATGTTCAGGAAACTGGCTTCAAGGCACCCTGATGCGGATACAACAGAACCGATTTTGTGTACTGTGGAGGACAAAGTGGTCTCCTTCAAGAACCAGCTAATGATCAGGAGAAATGCCCCACAACGAAAAATTGACAGTTTCTTCTCTAAAAGGCAGCGTGAGAAAGATGCTTCCACTCAGCCTTCCTCTTCAAAATGGAGAGAGGATTTTCCTGTTGGAAAACCTGTCAATTCAGAGGTTCCTGACATTACTGTGGAAGGTGACTCGCCTTCCAAGAAGCCGTAAAATGCTTCTCCACCCCCACTTCCTTCTCTTCTTCTTTCTCCTCCTCCACCCCCACTTCAATTTCCCATCAGCATCATGAAGCAGGAGCCTTTTACATACACATCTCATATTAAGTGTACTTTACTGCATTTTTTTTTTTACTTTGTAATTTTCGGTGAGCTGGAACCAATTACCCAATATCCCATTGAAACTATGGATTTGGTTAAAAAAAATTTTGGTTAACGAACTACCCTCTGGAACGAATTGTGTTTGTTAACCGAGGGACCACTGTATATCGGGACCCGAATCCAGGTCGTAAGTCGGAATGGTCGAAAGTCCGACATAGATTAAAAAGAAAAGAAAAAAATCTACAATGAAATACAGTACCGGTACACTTAAAAGTAATAAATAATGAGGAATGGATACAGTACAGTAAAAGTAATAAATAATGAGGAATGGATACAGTGTGACTGAGCACTTACCTTTAATGTAGTCAGCTGAATGCACACGGGGCCCCCATAACTTTCTATTTGCAGGTATACGTGGAGACTATATTAATTGGATGAAGCAGAAGAGGAGAGAGGGCTGGGTGGGTCATCAATGTCGCTTTCTTCAGACAGGTTTATGTACTGTGGAAACTTGCTGGTTAAAGGTATTGGATCATCTTGAGGGAGTGAAGAGGCAGCACTGGTGGGGCGTGAGGAGACAGCACTGGGGGACTTCTTAAAATAGATGTCCAATTTAGACTGCACAGTTTGCTTTTTCTTTTCATTATAAATTTCTCTAGCATGAAAGTGCATCTTGGATCATTCTGTCGACTTTGGCATAATGCTCATAATTTTGATCCATGCCATCAAACATTTGCATTCCTTTATTAATTGTAGCAAATGCCTCTGCCATTTGTTTCACTGTAAACTTTTTGGGGGTGCAGGTCCTTCTTCTACATTTAGACTGGCTTCTTCCTCTGCATCTTTGTGTGCTTCCAGTTCGATGAGATCTTCGTTACTGAGCTCTTCTGCTACACTTTCAACCAACTGTTCAACATCTTCATTATCAATTTATAACTCAAGCTGTTTACCTAACTCCACTATATTGTTACTAATGTCCGAAATAACTTCATTTTCATTAAATCCTCTAAAGCTGTTCACATATCTTTTCAGGATTTTCTTCCATATTCCATTCATGCAATGTTTTGTAACCCAATCCCATGCTGCACTAATGTTCTTTATACATGACAAAACATTGTACTCCTTCCAAAACTCTCTGAGCATTTTCTCACCTTCAGTAGCAGCAACAGCCTGAGCGAAGGTCGTACATAAATAATACGCTTTAAAGGCAGCAATAGCACCTTGATCCATGGGTTGGATGACAGAGGTAGTGTTAGGTGGAATGTACACTACCTTAACATCAGGGTGCATGTCGTCCAGGTGTGGTGGGTGTCCCGGAGCATTATCCAAAATAAGCAAAATCTTGAATGGAATCCGTTGTTGCAGACAATACTCCTTGGCTCGAGGAATGAAACAATTCATGAACCAATCCTCAAACAGTACAATGGTCATCCAGGCTTTCTTGTTACTGCGATAAAACACTGGCAGTGTGTGCTTGCTGACATGTTTAAAAGCCCTGGGGTTCTCTGAATGACAGATCATGAAGGGCTTTAGCTTGAAACCAGCAACATTCCTCCCAACAGAAGCGTAATTTTGTCCTTGAGTGCCTTGAATCCTGGCATTGTTTTCGCCTCTTTGTGGATGTATGTCTGCTCAGGCATGCACTTCCACAATAATCCAGTCTCATCCACACTGAATATTTGCTCAGGCAAATAATTCCCTTCCACAATCACATCATCTAACTCCTCCTTAAAACCTTCGGCAGCACCAACATCAGCACTAGCTGCCTCTCCACTCACCTTAACATTGTGTAAACTGTAGCATTTTTAAATCTATTGAACCACCCATGACTTGCTGTAAAGGTTTGCACAGATTCATCTCCTGCCTGCTCCTTCAGGCTTTGGAACATGCTTCTTGCTTTAGCCTGTAAGGTTAGAAGGCTTAAGGGTTCACGCTTCTGTGTTTGGTCTTCTGTCCATATCACCAATAATTTTTCTATATCATGAATAGGACCTTGTCTTTTCTTCAAAATTATAGTTCCCTTTATCGGTGTTGTTCCTTTCACTACATCACGAATACGTTCCTTGTCCTTCAGAATAGTGGATATGGTGAGGTGCGAGAATCCTAGGTCGGGTGAGATTGTTGGTACTGTTTTACCATTCTCATACTGCATTATTATCTTCATTTTCATCTCAAAAGTAATTGCCTGTCTCCTTTTCTTCGGAGCACCACCAGCACTCTCACTTGTATGCTTTCCAGTCATTATATAGTCAATTAAATACGATAATAATGTAAGTACACAGCGCGATCAGTATAGGATACGATAGCCAAACACCAACTAAGCGCTGTACTGAGTGAGTGTAACCATGCAGTGACCCAAGCCAGCCACGCTCTCGCTCATGACGGAAACGTTTTGGTATAGAAAATGCGCAAGTCATTTGAAAACATTTTTGGTCACGACTGTGGCGGTCGTATGTGCGGACGGTAGTACGGTCAGAGCAGGTCGTAAGTGCGGGTTGACGTAAGTTGGGTCAGTCGTAAGTCGGGGACTGCCTGTATATATATTAGTTTGTCCTCAGCCCATCTCCTAGAATAAACAAACACTCATAAATAAACACGGCTAAGATTAAGGGATGCGAAATGGTCTGCTTACTAGTGATCAGCTGATGTGAGAGGGTGGTCGCACTGGTGCCACTCACCACCCGCCTGACTCACCCAACACTCACTTTCCTCTCAACTCATTTTGTAATTACTTTATGTTATCAAAAATAGATTTTCACTCAACTTTAGTTAAGCAATTCATCTTCTGAAGATGCAGAGCCCAACTCAACCAGCACATCATCCACATCACTGTCTAGTGCTGTGGCTGTGGACGCATCTGACACGCGGGAAACTCCATTTCCTCGCTGCAGTGCTTCCAGCACCTTGTTTTTCTGCTCCAGTATAATTGCTTGCCTTAATTTCTTGGCCTTTGTGGTAGTTATTTATGTAGTAGCTGGCCTCTTGGACATAGTGGCGATGGTTGATGCACTTGGTAGAAGGAGATAATGTCACACAATATGTCCGTTCACTTGAGTGTCAGTGCGAGAACTGAGGATGTGGGAGGATAGCGGGCAGCCGTGTAGCGTGCCCAGAGAGGTGTCTGGTGGGAAACATTTGGCGCAAAATTTAAAATAGGAAGTGCCAGATTGACTCGTGCAAAATAGGAAAGATCTGCTTTAAATTAAAATATTGTCCTTAATTGTGGGTGTCGCTTTAAATCAATAATCTTAAATTGAATCGCTTTAAATCGACGTTCTACTGTACAGTATATACCGGTACTGTTGAAATCCTTATACTGTAACACATGTTGCCAATCAACAGTGAGATGTCTACACACACACACTCTGATTTCATGTTTGGTGACTATATCTGCCCTCCTGAGCAAAGGGGTTAGTAATGTACAGTACAGTACTAATATTGTTAAGTGTTTAATTACATCTTCACACTTTCTTAATGAATACAAGAAGGTGAAGTTACTAACCTCCTCTACCTTCCTGCAGTAGGAGAGGGATATATAAATCCCTGAGCAGGTAGTCTGCACCCATACTCGTGTATGGGATAAATGAAAGTTGCTGAATGCCATTCACAACTTATGTAAAGAGAGTGGACTGTGTGTCAGTGTATACCTGGAGGAGTGAAATGATATATATGTTGTGTTGTCAAAGTAAGAGAAACAATTGAGACCTTGCAATTACATGTAAATGAGGCAGAAAGTCCATCAGATCAACAACCTGGGACTTGGTCACAATTTTTGTGATGCCATATGGAAGCACATGCCATTAGGCAACTTTTTATATTACCAATGTCTTTCCAGGCAAAATAGTACTGTACCTCCCTGTTTGTTAGCTGCCTACTGTCTACTACCTGTAAATTAAAGATAACAAAATTGTTGATTACGTTTTGGACTTTTATTAGTACAGTATAGATTTATTAAAAAAAAGAAAAGAAAATATGGATACAGGATTCTTTTTTGATAATTTGTGAATAAAAAATATGTTTTATGTTGTCCATATATATGAAATAGTACCATCATAATTACTGTATGTTAATTTTACTTGCAGTGTGCCAGATTCTACAGAGGCTCAGCACATTGAAGCACGTGAAAAATATGATGTCATCATTATTGGTGCTGGAGCTGCAGGTATTGGGGCAGCAAGAGAGCTTACTTCACAAGGTGTCACCTCCATTCTTATTCTTGAAGGTTAGTGCTTGATAAGTGTGCCTTAAGTGTCTTAAAAGGTTTAAAGTCTAGAAGAAAAAACACAGTCTAGATTCTCATCATTTAGTCTACTTCGAATCTTTGACTTGTTGATATTTAATAGACCATAGTAAGTGGAGCCGAATAAACTAGCATAAATAGCAACCTTCTGTTGCAAATACGGACACTGATCTTGAGGCAAACACTTATAGAAATGTATAGAAATGGAGTAAGTTCCCTTCCATACATTTTGCACAATTATGTCAATTTTGGAGATCAATCTAACTTGGCCTCTAGTTCCATGTCTTCATGGGAAACTGAGAAGGATTACTGAACAGTTGCAAATATTTTTTCTCTTTTTCGGTCTCAAAATTGCTCATCAAATGCTTCCGGAATAATTTCAATCTTTGTTGCATAGTTTTCAGCTTTATAATCCACTGTGTGCTCTTCAAGTATCTGTTGGAAAATGTCTCAACTCTCCTTTAATAAGTTATGACTGAAACAGCTTGAGCTTTTATTCAAATGTTGTTTAGATGACTGGTAATATCAACAAAAAATGATAGAGCCACTCCACATTTTCAAGCTCTTGAAGTGCTTTTCCATTTTCATTGAGAAATATGACCATTTCATCCAATATTATACACTTAAATACTCTAACACCACATTTGGGCAACAAGCAATTTTCTGTACTGCAATACACTATGCCATGCCAAGCTGGCCACAACTACTTCAGCCTCCCAAATCCCAGAAACTCTAAAAGATCCAAAGCAAATCCCTCTGAACAGCAACAAGATGCACTCATACCACAGATATTAGTCCACAATATTAAGAATTAAGAATTTTTCCTGTAAAAGACGACCTTAATATAAGGGGCACACAGTTCATCATTTCAGCATGCAATTCCACACATCCCTGCAATTTCTTGTTGACTCGCCCACCACCCCAAAGACACAAAAATTGTAACACAGCACAGCACAGCACAACACAACACAACACAACACAACACAACACAGTTCCATACTTTGGATAATCTCTCCACTACAATATCCACAAACAAGTACTCAACATATACGGTAAGCAACCTCCTTCATCCAAAGGCTCCAACCAAACTACACACTCTTACGAACACACCACCACCAAATTACACCCACTGTCTGCTCACTGCCTGCCTAACTTTTACTTGACAACCAAATCTTCACATACCCCCAACAGCTTTGCATCCATGTTAAGCAGGAACAACAATAATGAGTGTCATCATATAACCAGATGATTTGCAAGCACACCTTTTGGTTACCAGGTACCATTACTGCATACCTAACATCTTATACAATATGAAACATTTTTGGTCTCTCTTACATATTGTATTATAATTATTTGTCTCTATTTTGTAGGACATAACCCTGATGAATATGGGGGTCCTCTGTACAATAATTCTTGAAGTGGCTCAGTAATGTTTACTTGCTTTATTTATTGAACTGTATATGCTTGATGCTGTATTAGACTTGGGTATCTAAAACATTGCTTGTATTAGTGAATAAATTAGATTAATTTTCTGATAAGCTTTAAGAATAGGAAAAAAATTTCAGAACAGCTCCATATAAGCTTGAAGATGGAAAAGATCAATCTTGAGGTTTTCATTGAAAAGGGATGTTTGTCATCCTGTTCTCAAATGCTTTAACATAAACAAAATAGTAAATTATAGTAATGTATAATTTTCCACAGGAAATGACCGTATTGGTGGGCGTGTGAACACCATTAAAACAGCACGAGGTTTTGTAGATTTAGGTGCTCAGTGGATTCATGGAGAAGATGGTAATGCCATTTTTCAGTTTGCAAATTCCAGGAACCTTCTTGATGACAAGTTGTCTGTGGATGGTAGAGGTGAGTGCCAGCATAATTTGTATTGCTATTACTGTACAGGGGAATCCTGTTAAGTGTAGAAGATGCATTCCCAAGGTAACACACACACACACTTAGCAGAATTCTGCACTAATTTCCTAGACTAGCTACACAAACCCAGACACCAATAATTCCTTTGTATTGTACCTTTAATATACCCTTATACAGTTATAAAATTGTTCTCTTTGAAGATTCACCAAAATGACATATGCATCCAGCTACTGTATATTCGGTGTGACACTAACTATCACTTCAGATGTAATGTTTTTTCTTTACTTTTTTTTCATTTTCTTTAAAAGCCTGTGCTGGATATTTTGGAGCCGTAGTTTCACATAAATCAACACTGTCTTCACAAAAAAAAAAAAGTTGCTATTGCATGTGTTCTGGGTATCAAGTTCTATCTACAGGAGCGAACACAAACACCTGTAGAGTTTTCGTAGGTTCTATTTACTGGATAAACAGATATGTACACAAGGGAGGTGGCGCTCCTTACTCTGTATGGGGGTCAACTAGCCTCTCGGGCGACATGTGGCAATTGATACATTAACAGCTCCCATATGTCGCCAGGCACATTAATTAAGCGTGTGGGACATGGTAAATACATTGCCACACACTGTTAGCTAGGCTGAATAAATAGTGTGTATAAATGGAGCACATACATAATATACATACAGCATACATAATATACATACACCTCCCTCCCCTCTATACGCTCATAGCAAAGCCTTGAGCGGACCTTTTCTTTTGGATCCGTTCCGAGCGTCGAGGGACTTGATCACTGGGGAGGGTATGGGACTCAACACTGGTGGCGGGGTCAGCAGAAGGCGTTGTTACGGGGCGGAGAAAACGGCGGTTCCTCCACCACACACGACCACTGGGTAACCGCACCTGGTAGTCCTGTGACCTACTGAGACCCATGACTACTCCCACTTTGTCCCAACGTAGGGAGGTCGGGTCCTGAACACGGACTTTGGTGCAGACACTCAACCTGGGGAGAGAACGGGTGTGGTCATTATAGCGGGCGACGATGTCTTGAACACGTTCGGCGGCTTGGCGATCACAATCCTCTGTCTTGGCCTGCCACTCCTTGGAGAAGGATTGAGGGTGAGCAGGGACACAAGAACGAAGGGGGCGTCCATACAAGACCTGGGCAGGGGAGCGTCTGGTGTAGTTAGGTGTGTTGCGTAGTTCAAGAAGACCCCGGTCGAAGGCCTCGCAGTCAATATTCCCAGAAGGGGCCACCTTAAGGATGAGGTGCTTCAGGGATTTGACAGCAGCCTCAGCGTGGCCGTTGGACTGCGGGTAATGGGGCGATGACAACACATGCCGGACTCCCCATCGGTCAAGGAACACAGCAAAGTCCCGGCTTGTGAACTGGGGCCCTCCGTCGGTTCGCAGGCGCACAGGAACGCCCACATCATGGAAGTAGTGGCGGAACTTGCTGATGGTGGCGGCAGACGTCGTGTCATTACCGCACTTGATGACAACCGGCCAACCAGAGAAACGGTCGACGATAACAAGGAAGGACTTTCCTGACATAGACAAAAAGTCGGCCCACACAGACTCAAAGGGCCGGGTGGGGTTGTCGTCACTCATGAAGGGTTCCTGCTGCTGGCTGGGTTGTAATACTTGGCAGGGCTCACACGCACGGACAACATTGGAGATGTCGGAGTCGATGCCGGGCCAGAACACAGTCTGTCGTGCACGTCGTTTGGTGGCCTCAGCTCCACGGTGACTGTCGTGAAGGCGAGCCAAGACGTGGGGACGTGAGGCAGCAGGGACAGCTACACGTGCTCCATACAGAACAAGGTCCCCGTCGCAGTAGAGTTCATCGCGGAGTTTCCAATACTGGAGCAGGGTGTTGTGATGGTTGTAGTGGTTGCTAGGGAATCCATTCCTCACACACTCGACGAGTCGGATGTAGGAAGGGTCATCTCGGGCCGCTGTTCGAAGGTCCTCCATTGCCTTGTCGTCATCTGGTGACAGGTCCGAACGAAGGGATTGGACGGCGTGTAGAGTGACCACAGTCCTGACGGAAAGAGCGAGGTCGGCATCGAGCACATGGTCTGCTGGAGTAGGGCGGCTGACAGGAGAGCGGGATAAGGCATCAGGGATGCAGAGCTCCTTACCAGCACGCCACACTGCTATGAAGACGTACGCCGAGAGCTTCTCTTTCAGACGCTGGAGGCGAGGGTTCTCAACGGCGTCCAGCGAGTAGTGGTTGAGGATCGGGACAAGCGGGCGATGGTCGGTCACTAGGTGAAAGTGTTGCAGGCCTATGAGGTAAAACCTGCACTTGGACATCTCCCAAACCACAGCCAACAGCTCCAACTCAATAGTGGCATAGCGCGTCTCGGTGTCAGAGGAAACGCGAGCCACACTGGACGAGCCGGAACTGCCCTCCACCATGATCCTGCAATAGGGCGTATCCCACGCCGTACAAGCGTGAGGCATCTGTCTGCAGAACCGTCGAAAAGGCTGGGTCAAACGTGGCGAGGACAGGTGGACTAGACAGGGCCTGTTTCACTTGCTGGAAGGCCTTGTCGTGGTCGGGGGTCCACAGGAATGTCCTCTTGGGGCTCATCAGGGGGCGAAGTGGTTGGACAGCTGCTGAGATGTCCGGCGAAAACTCTGCTAACTGGTTGACGAGACCGATGAAGGACCTCAAGTCGGTGAGGTTGGCAGGGGTGGGAAAATCCGTGATGGCGCGGACCTTTTCCGGGTCAGCTGCGATACCATTCCCTGAGAGGGTGTAGGTACCCACAAAGTCCACTGAAGAGCTGGCCAGAACAAACTTGTCGGCATTTAGGGTGATGCTGTGCTTCCGGCACCTGTTGAGTACTTCGTAGATACGGCAGAGGTGGTCCATGTAATCCTCATCGTACACGAGTAAGTCGTCGACCACTTTCACGCAGTTTGCCAGACCTTGTAGAGCCATATCACCTCGAAGACAGAAAGCATCTCCTGTAGCGGCGGATCCCATGGGGCCACGTCAGTAACTGTAATGTCCATGCGGGGTGATGAAAGTTGTAAGTGGTCGGTCTTCTTCGGCAAGCTCTATCTGCCAGTATCCACACAGGGCGTCCATCGTCATGAAGAAGCGTGCCTTCGGGTTCACACTGCGTATAGCTGCAAAGGGTGTGGGAGAAGGGTGCGCAGGACGAGACACCTGGCTGTTGAGCTTGGAGAGGTCAGTGGTGATCCGAACACCACCTTTAGGTTTTGCGACGACTGCCATAGGGTGACACCATGGAGACGGGTCATCACCGGCTGGTGCAATAATTTCTTGGGCGACCATGGAGTCCAGCTCGTTTTTGACCGCCTCGCAGAAGGCCAGGGGGACCAGTCGAGGGGTGTAGATAGCGAAGGGCTTCGCGCGTCCCTCAGGTGGATCCTCATCGGGGGGCCTACCATCTTCTTGAGAGGCTTGGATTCCAGAGCGGACTTGGTCACCAGAACGTAGCTGAATTCCTTCAGGAAGTACTTCCGAGCATCCGAAGGAGAGGTGTCACTGGCAAGAGGTAGGGGTAGGGCGGCAGCAGGGTAGTTGCTGCTCCCTTCGTGCACCCTGTTGGCATGTTTTACCTCGAGAATAGGTTTGGGGAAGCCCTGGGAGATGATGGCCAACTCTTGACAATGTCTGTAGGACAGCAAAGGAGTCAGGACACCGTTATGCACATCAATCCAGGCTTGACACGACCTGTTGCCAAAGGTGACTTGTGCTTGGATTGAACCTAGGGCTGGGGCCATCTGTGAACCATCTGCCGTGAAGCGGAGATCCTTGGCTGGCGGTCCTAGATCACTTGGAGAGAGCCCCAAGCATTGCAAATGCTGGGGACCGATGACTGTAGCATCAGGACCGGTGTCGGGCAACATCTGAAGACGGGATGACACACTGCCGTCGGTCACGATGACGCTGATGTGCTGGGGGACTTTGGTCCTGGGACGCGAGGGGGAGCACACATTCCTAATATGGCTCGAGCGTTGTCCAGGGTCGTCATGCTTCTGATTGGAAGACTGTGGACGGCCCTCACTGGTGGAAGGGCGCTGCTGCCTCCGCCGACGCTGTCCCTTGGGTTTGTTGGAAGGGCAACACTTGTCGTAGTGGCCCAGATGACCGCACACATTGCACTGGACGTGCTTAGCTGGGCACCGCACTGTGAGCGACCAGTGGCCTTTACGGTCACAACTGTTGCAGGTAGACTCAACAGCTGGACACACCTGTGTTCCGTGCTGCTTACCACAGTTGTTACAAAAGGAACCGGGCGTGGGCGTGGTGGGCGAAGGCGTTGGAGTAGACTTCTTGTCCTTCTTGTACCGGGACACAGCGCGTACAGCTGTAGGGGGAGCTCGGATGGCAGAGGTGGCACACCTGGCAGCCTCATAGGAGCGACATATTGTCAACACATCCTTAAGAGAAGAGGAAGAGTCGAGGAAGGTGAGGCGTTGGACAAGCTCCTCGTCCTTAACACCCATCAGGATCACCTTCTTCAACTGGGTCTCCTCGCACTGCTGGTGGTTACCTGGGCATATATCTACCTCTTCCGAGGCTCTCTTGAGTCGTACATAAAAGGCATCAAAAGTCTCGCCCTCCATCTGTCTGCAGCTAAACAATTCCCTCCTGGGTAGAGCTTCATTCTGCTGCCCTTTGATGTGCCGTTGTAGAATATCCAGTACCTCCTCTACAGACAACGAAGAGGTCGGAGGTACCTTCAACGTATGTTCCAAGACACGCTGAGTTTCCAAAGACAGGCACATACGCAGCTGAATAAGTTGTTTAGGCTGTGACAAACTCTGGAGGTCCACCATTGTAGCATAATCAGTCCACCGTCACCGCCATTCACAAAAAGTCTGGAAATTCACATCAGGCTTCAAGATGGGCGGTGTTTCAGCAGCCGCTTTAGGGGGGGCTGGGGGGCTGGGGGGCGTGAAGAAAACGTTGATGAGGTATCCGAACCAGTCGATACCGAGGCAGTGTTAGAGCCAGGGGCTTGGTTAACAGTGAGGTGGTCTCTCTCTGCCTCTGCTTGCCTTCTTTCTTCGTCCTCCACACGTCTTTTAGCAAAGTCGTGACGCCTTTCATCCCTCATAAACTTCATTAAAGCAATTATCTCTGAAGACAACGCTGGAGATCGAGGTGAAGGGCTGCGCGATGTGGTGGGAGCTGGAGCGTCCTATTCAGCCTGGTCATCCATCTCTGCGGAGCTGTCATCCGACTGACTCATCTGGGCGTTGGCTCCACGACTGCGTAAGGCACGAGACATAATAACTTAATCTGTGTACTGCGTCTTAAATCAGTGTTGACCGGTCAGCCCGTCGTATCAACAAGATCGGAGACAAAAAAAATAATTAAATGCACAGATAAGTAGATTATATATATATATATATATAAAATATATATAAAGGAATGGCCGCAGTCAGTGTGTTCGTACGTGTGTGTGTGTGTGCGCGCGTCTCGGGCAGTCTCGCTGTGAATGGGTGGAGGCGGCGACTCGTCAGTTACCTTCCAGGCATGGCGGGAGGATGCAGCGCTAAACTCTACTCCTCACACATGCCCTGAACATGCCTTACACCTTGGGAATCCTTTAGAACAAGGTCACACAGTTATGGCACTAAATACACAATGCACTATACACTTCACAGAAAATCACTGTCACTGACACTGCTCAAAGTTGCTATAAATTCTTTGAAGAAACGTCAAAATTTTTATTTATTTATTTTTTTCTGTTCCAATAAAATACGTTAAGAATTAAAAACTCGCGAAATTTGAGAAGCTACTATACGACATTTAACCCTTCAATATGTCTTCAAAGAGACCATGATGCAGAGAAAGTGGTGCTAGTGCTTCCAGGCATAAGCACAAGTCACTATCTATCCAGGAAAAGGGTGAATTTCCATGGTCCGGCACCGGTCAGGTCCCGAGGTTGCCGGACTAGAGAGGTACAACCTGTATAAATATTTTGTATATAAAACTGTGTGTTGTGCTATATGTATCATTACAGCTATACAGTATTGGATTTATTTTAGAATTGTTGCATGTTTTTCAAGAAATCAAAATTATTTTATAATTACTGTATGCCAAAAAAATTCAATACAGTACATGCATACCTATTACAATACCTACCAATTTCATGCAATTTAGGATTTCAGATTTAGCCTTGATGTAAATTTCTATCATTTGTGAAAGATTTAAAACTATATATTATTAAAATATTTCTCTTATATTCTGGAACATTTTGTATACTTGTACAGTATTCTAGGTCACTCTGGAAGTTTTTAATTGTCTGAACATAATGAAGCTCCTATTAGTTGTTTAGTTTTGTTAACACACACAATATGCTTTACCATTAGGTGTTTTCGTCATGGAGAATGGAAGACAAATAAAGGAAAACATCATACAAGAAGTTCTTGAAATAATGGAGGAAGCAGATGATGACTGCAAGGAATACAATCATTCAAAGAAATTGAAAGGGGTTGATCAGATATCAGTTGGAGATGTTTACCGAAATTTTTTTTTTACTTACTTAAAAGCCTGTGATAAAGATTCCCTGATTGTGAGAAGAATAAAGTTGGCTTTATATTATTGGACCTTAAGGTAAGTGAATGCATGGTAGTTCTTCTACTGTCTAGCACACATAAAATTTAAAATGAAATACATACTGTAAGTGATATCTCCTTTCGCCGGAACAATTGGTGCAGAGCACTTCCAGGAATGAGAGATTTCCTTGCAACCACAGAATTTTTTCCAGTTACTGGGGAAAGTTTACAAGAGTTCTAAACTACGCATTTTGCAGACAGAAACTAGCCTACATCCCCGGAATGTTTCTGGGTGCTGGGAAAGTTTGAGAGATGAAAATTAGGCACATTTTCCAGAAATTCTGAGAACATTTTCCCTGTACCTGGAAAATTCTGTGTGTGTGTGTGTGTGTGTGTGTGTGTGTGTTTGTATGTGTGTGTGTGTGTGTGCGTGCGTGCGTGCGTGCGTGCGCGCGTGCGCGCAATTAGGGAAGTTTTCTGTATGTAATCACTTTTTTTTTACCTTAATTTTCTTGTTCGTGAAAATAATACAAATTGTATTTCATTTCAGATGGCAAAGAATTGATAATGCCTGTGATTCTCTTCATCAATTGTCAGCCAGCTGTTGGGGGAACTATGTATTCTGTAGTGGAAAAGAAAACATGAACCCCAAGGCTGGGTTTCTGTCCATCTTAGAAGCTATTCTGGCAGATACAAGAACAAATTTAAAACTAAGAAGTGAAGTTGATAGGTAAGCAGTAAGCCTAGAGCAGTACAGGAATGTTCTTTTGCTGCCTGATTCTTTTCCTGTACAGTAAAGCCCCCAGCTTGTACAATCAGTTGTCTGCATCCATGAAGCAGCTAACTTCTGTGGAGGCCTTTAAGATACAATCTTTTTTCAAAGCTTATGATCCTGAACAGAGTACGGTGATGGAGCATTATAACCAACCTTATGGACAACACAGAATACATGACTCCCAGTTCGAATTTTTTGTATTTGGTGTGCAAGAAAAAGTTTCCATGAGAAGGGAGGGAGGAATGGTGTGGTAGAGAAAGGTGGTGATGGAGAGGACAGATGAGATGCATGGATTGTTGTTTAGTTCACTTTGTACAGTTAATACCTATCGACTGTCATGGTCAATACAAAATATATTCCAAGATCAAGACCTCAACATCCCTCAATTGCATGATTCCTGGGAGCAAAAAGAGAGAGTAGACAATTGGAATGGGGAGGGAGGGGAGATTGGGAGACAAGGAAGAGTGAGGGAGATGTGGAGGAAGGAGGAAGACAAGGAGGAGGGAGGGAGATGGTTAAGTGAGAGAAAGAGGGAGAGGGTTTGGAGCAGTGATAGTAATTGTGAATATGTTGTAGCTGTGTACATATTCTGGTAAATTGTGGTTAAAAGTGGTAACATTAAATGGTCATGAATAATGCCTTTATTTCCCAATTATATTATTTTCCTACATTTTATACATTGATATCAAGTTATGTACAGTACAAAAACGTATTCTTCGCCATTCTCGGATCATAAATTTTAAATAAACTAGTCATTTATAGCATATCACCTGGCTTATATCATGCGGGTTGAATGTATCCCTTGGTAAAGTATTACATTTTATTCCTTGTTTTGAAGATGTTCACCCAAAATAAGGTCAACATTGAAGGATTGCAGTTTGCCTTATACTGTACTATATTGAATCATATCCCTCATTGGATGGATATGATTTGATTTATAAAATACCTTGTTTTACACTTTGTATCAAATTTAAGATATGTTATTGATCATGTACAAAACAAGAGTTGGGGACTTTTTTTAGCCACATACAGGTGCAGTTATTATACAATTATTCTCTTATTATAAATTCAGATTCTTTAACAATTACTAGTTATGACTACCATATTTTGCTGCATAGAAGACGCACTTTTTATTACAAAAATATACCTTGAAAATTACCATGCGTCTTCCACAACACTACAGGTTGACAACCCTTTATCCGAAATTCCAAAAACCGAAAAGCTCTGAAAACCGAAAGTTTTTTTTTTTTTTTTTTTTTTTGGGGCATTTTTTTTTTTTTTTTGTATTAGCCCACCCGGGCACAGGTCACTGACCCACATCGGAGCCTGGGGGGTGAAAATATAATAGTAATAATAATTATGATAATAATGATAATACAGTTATAATAATAATTATTCATGGTAAATAAAATTTTTAATAAAAAATACACAAAAATAGAATAAGAATGATAACAATAATAATAATAACAATAATACTGTAAGAATAAAATAATAATAATAATAATAAAGAAATACAAGAATGAAAAAAATCAAAAGTGAGAAACACGACCTAGACCTATGAATTATTATTATTATTATTATTATTATTTATTATTATATTATATTATTTTATTTTATTATCATCATCATCATCATCATCATCAGGCCTAATGTGGGTCAGTGACCTGTGCCTGGGTGGGCTGATCCCTGTAAAAAAAAAAAAAAAAAACTAACCATTCTGAAAACCGAAATGCATCTGGTCCCAAGGATTTCGGATAAGGGATTGTCAACCTGTAGTTGATGGGTTGTAGTGGAGGCTTTCTTAGGTTCAACTGAAATCGGCCCCTTACAAAGACTGTTACGTCATTACTTAGCAATTACAAGTATTCTCTATACTATAAAACAATTGATTTAACTAATATTATTGATATACTACTAAAAATACGATTACGAGTATTTACTTACTCAGTAGGTAAAAAATAAATGGCTGCAGCTACACAACCTTTGCTGTTGTGCGGTTTGTTTACTAATGGCAGTGGTGTGGCAGCGCCATCTATTGGGGAATTGCGAAAGGTTGTCTGCTGGTCTCAAAGCGCAGGATTTTTTGTGTCTTCACATTCGATTGTCTAGAACTTTGTTCATTCACTACCAGGCCTTCACTTGTGTCACAAGCCATTTTCATTCCTGCAAATTATCTTCCTCATCTAACGAAGGTGTATCAAGGAGACATAAATATAATATCGCATTTAAACTTGAAGTAGTGCGATATGCCAAAGAACATGGAAACAGGGCAACAGAGAGAAACTTCGGACACCACCTACTGAGAAGATGATTCGCCAGTGGAGGAAGCAGGAGGAAGAATTAAAAAAAAGAATAAACAGAAGCATAATCTTCATATAGTACAGGTAGTTCTGCTATAACGCGATAATTGTGTTCTTGTAAAATATCGTGTTATAGAAAATCGCGCAATAGAAATAACAGGGCTTATGGAGAAAATAGGGTTAGGTGCAGATTACTCGAAATCGAAAAAATTTAGTAGTTAGCCTAACACAAAGGATAGCACAGTCTAAATAAATGTTACATTCATATCTAATAATGAAATCATACAGTAAATGTAACACTTTACCTTGAAAAAATATGAATGTAACTTGATGGGGGAGAAGGGTGATTTTGAGGTTGATAACATCGAGCTTCTCTTCAAGTGTTATATCCTTTCTTTTACGATCATCACTGGGAATTCTATCACCAGAACGCTTCTTGGAGATATTCTTCTTTACCATATTCACAATTAATACCACAAAATTGGAGAAATAGTAAGCAAAAATCGCGTTATAGCAAACAAGCGTTCACGTTATACAAATATCGTTCCTAATTCATAAATCGTGTTAGAGCAAATTCGCGTTATCAAAACACGCGTTATAGCAGAACTCACTGTACCAGCAAAATGGCCATACAGTAGGTTCTCAAATTTCGCGAGTTTTTAATTTTACGTTTTTATTTGGACACAAGAAAAAAAAATACACAATTACAAATTTTTACTGCAGAAACTCGAATTTCGACGGGTTTGAGTGGCCCGCCAGTGTTCAGACGTGCACAGTCGTGTAAACAGCGTTATTTCTCTTATGTACAAAAGATTCATTATTGTTTATTACTGAATGACTCTTTGATTGAATTAATGTTTATGTGTGCAAAATGAACAAAGCAATTCATTAATAATACGTAGAATATTAAAACTCATGAGGAGATGAGATGGCATTGTTTTCGTTAATGTTTACAAAACCAGTGACTTACTGGTTCTACATATAAAAATGAAGAAAATCAGACCCTGGTTGTAGCTGTAGTAAAATGAGTGTAAAAAAATTAATATGGTTGTTTGAAGTAATGTTATTTAATGTTTTAAATGGAACAATAAAAGTAGCTAACCATTAATGGTAAAGAAAAAAGTGAGACTGTTTGTATGCAAGTGCGCACACGTGAAAACATATCGTCATTATTCTACATAAGAATATGAAGGCAACACTTTTTTACTATTCATATACAGTATATTTTAATTATTGTTTCTGAATTTAAAAAAGAAAAATTCTACCCTCCAGTGGTGGTAAAGTTGAAAACATAAGGACAGCCAATGTTGTTGTTTGTGTTTTTACCCGGATGACAAAGTTGCCAAGTCATCAGGTTCAACTCTAGCTGAAGCTGTAGAACATGAAAACTTTTTCTGTGTTGTTTTTAGTTTTTCTTAAACTTTATCTGTTATTTTCATTGGCTTATTAGGATGTTGCTTTATTACAGGTAGTAATTCGCCAAAAAAGTAGGGTAAATGAGGCAAAATTTAGCCAAACATCTAAAGTACCAGACTCAAATTAATTTTCTCCATATGAAATATTTAAATTTGGACGATTTGAATTTTGCGAGGTTTTTACAGTCTAAATAGGTGTCCAAATATGAGAGCCTACTGAGTTTAGAAGAAAACTTGAAAACATGGATATTAAACCAAAGAAATTTGGGTTTTGCGGTGACTACGAAGATGATCATTTTGGAAGCAAGAAGGTTTGCAGCAAACACAGGGGTGGATGACTTCAAAGGAACTGCTTGTTGGTGTTTTCGCTTCATGAAACGAAATGGCTTAAGTTTGCGAACAAGAACAAAGTTAATAAGAATAAAAAGTTTTCCTAGAATTACATTTCCAAAATCAGGGGTGCATCTTCTACGATACAGCGTCTTCTACGCCGCAAAATATGGTAACAGTTCTCGTTAAACTTGATTTTTTTGTAATGCATATTTCCTTTTAGCATTGACTATGCAAGTGAAGTTATGGCTGAAAGTGGTGGTTATTTTCGACCAGATGGCACAACTTACCCTGTGATCATCAAGTGCAAGTAAGTGAAAAAATGTGACCATTCTTATGAATCTTTTAATCTCCATATGTGCACAAAATGTGTTTACCCTCATTAGTATCACTTAATGACCATGGGGTTGATAGCAACTTTGAGCCTAATTGAAAATATTGCTAGTAGTTTTTATGAAAAATTGGATGCATGATATTAAATTATAGAATTATGAGTGCATTTTATGGATTATTTTATATTTTAGAAAAAAATCGTGGAGTTATAGACGGCATCTTTCTTTTAATGTTAGAAATTTTTTTTATGACTAAATTACGGTACTAATTTCAGTACAGGGGTATTTGATATTAAATTTTCCCTTTGGTCTTACCTTGAAGTTTTGTAAAATAATGAAAACTTATCTTTTGTAAAATGTATATTAATATTTCAGAGATGGGAGTGAATTTGAAGCTCAGCATGTCATAGTGACCCCTTCTATAGGATACTTGAAGAGTCACTCCAGCCTCTTCTCCCCTGCTCTTCCAACAAAGCTTCAAAAAGTAAGTACAGTCAGTCCCCGACTTACGACGGGGTTAGGGACCGACGACCAGGTCGTAAGTCGAAAATGTGAAAATAATTGGTTCCAATTGGTTCCAACTCTCAGAAAAAGTACATACAGTAGTACCCCGATTGCGGTCAATTGAACCCACAGGGTACCGCGGAAAGTGAAAACCGCGTAAAGTGAACAACAGAACATATGGGATTAATTCCAATAGAGACTGGCCCGATCCCCAAACTCCACTTTTTCCGACGCAATACCTATGTTGTAGTAAAAATAACATCTAAATTTTATGATGGTATGCTCACACAATTAATATTTAAGAGAAATACAGTCGCCAGGTTAATGTCCATTCAAATAATGAACTCAAATCCCCCCCCCCACTCTTCCCAGCTCACTGGCCCCTACCTCTCTGAGAAATGATTGGGTGAAACACTGATTTGAACGTTTAGTAATAAAAAATACCTCAGACTAAAGTTAGGATAATATAATTGACATTTCTGGATTCCTTGCAGGTCAGGGAATATTTTGAATGTAAACGTCATATATTTTGCACAAAAGATAAAATATTTGCTTTGTGTAAACCAAATTATTACATTAAATCTAAAATTTGTATGTCTAATGCAAAATCCATGATGTTTATATTCAAAATGATCATCATATTGTAAGAATTCCAGCAATGTAAATTATATTCTGGCCAGGTAATTTGTATAAATTTTATGAGCTAAAACTTATACAGTAATACCCCGCTTAACGTGGTTTCGCTTAGCGCAATTTCACGTATACGTGGTGCCTCGCCAGAGCCGAACTTTCACTTAACACGGTTTTTTTTCCACCTATACGCGCAGAGTGTCCGGCTCGAGACGCTATTATTAGATTCGCCCCACCCACCACCCGCCTGCCTGCTTGCCTGCCTGTTTTAGCTCATAAAATTCATACAAATTACCCGGCCAGAATATAATTTACATTGCTGGAATTCTTACAATATGATGATCATTTTGAATATAAACATCATAGATTTTGCATTAGACATACAAATTTTAGATATAATGTTTACTCTGAGTAAATAAGTTATTTTTTGTGCAAAATATATGACATTTGTATTCAGAATATTCCTGGTCTTACAAGGAATCCAGCAATGTCAATTATATTATCCTAACTTTAGTTTGAGGTATTATTTATTACTAAAAAGGTAAATATTCTGGTTTTCCCACACATCTGGTAGGGAGGGACCGACCGACCATCTGTTACGGTGTGAAGAATATTTTTTTTTTTTTATTAACTGAAGATATTTGTTTTAGCTCATAAAATTCATAAAAATTACCCGGTCAGAATATAATTTACATTGCTGGAATTCTTACAATTTGATGATAATTTTGAATATAAACATCATAGATTTTGCATTAGACATACAAATTTTAGATATAATGATTACTCTGAGTAAATATGTTATCTTTTGTGCAAAATATATGACATTTATATTCAAAATATTCCTGGTCTTACAAGGAATCCAGCAATGTCAATTATATTATCCTAACTTTAGTCTGAGGTATTATTTATGACTAAAAAGGTAAATATTCTGGTTTCTCCCACACATTTCTCTGGTAGGGAGGGGTGGTGGGGGGGAGGGAGGGACGGACCGACCATCTGACACGGTTGGAAGAGGGGGGGAGGCAAGGTGGGGTACTTTGATTGACAGATAGTGTCATGAAGAATATTTTTTTTTTTTATTAACTGAAGATATTTGTTTTAGCTCATAAAATTCATACAAATTACCCGGCCAGAATATAATTTACATTACTGGAATTCTTACAATTTGATGGTCATTTTGAATATAAACATCATAGATTTTGCATTAGACTTACAAATTTTAGATCTACTTTAAGTATTTTGTTTACTCTGAGTAAATATTTTATCTTTTGTGCAAAATATATGACATCTATATTCAAAATATTCCTGGTCTTACAAGGAATCCAGCAATGTCAATTATATTATCCTAACTTTTTTTTGAGGTATTATTTATTACTATACCGTAAAATCTAGCAGTTTTCCCTCAAACATTTCTCAGAGAGGGAGGAGCCAGGAGTGTGAGAAGAGGGGGAGGGAGTTGAGTCCATTATTTGAATGGACATAAACTTGGCGACTGTATTTCTCTACTTCTCTTAAGTATTAATTGTGTGTGTGTATCATCATAAAATTAAGATGTTATTTTTACTAGAACATACAGTAGGTATTGTATCGGAAAAAGTGGAGTTTGGGGGTCAGCCGGTCTCTATTTCATTTAATCCCATATGTTATGTTGTTCACTTTATGCATTTCTCGCTTTACGCGAGCCTCCGTGGGTTGAATTAACCGCGTAAAATGAGGGTTCACTGTATGACGTTTATATTATTATAAACTGTCTTGCAAGGATTCCAGCAATGCAAATTATATTCTCCTAACTTTTGTCTGTGATATTATATAAGATAAAAACTGTAAGCCTATAACCACCAAACCCTGGCTGGGAGGGATGGAGGGAGGAAGGGGAGGTGACAGTGACATGCTTGACAGTTGGTGCCAAAGGTCTAGTGAAGTATTCATTTGTTTATTTATGTCCTTTAGATTGAGTTTTTATTTTTTGCTTATAAAATATCACAGAAGTGACCTGGAAAATATAATTTACATTGCTGGAATTCTTATAAGATAGTGATTAATTTGAATATAAATGTCATATATTTTGCACAAGAGATAAAAATTTTAGTACATTTGTACATTTTTATTATGTAAAAAATTTTCAACTGTATTTTTGGATAGATTTACATAAACTTCTGGGTGTCTATTTTTCTTCTCACCACTAAGAGAACTCTCACTTTTACGCTTGTCAGCCATTTTAAAGGGAATTACAAACAAAAATTTTGTCACTACACAGCGCGATTACTAACATTGGGACTCAAAAATACGTAATGTGAAAAAAAAATTTGTACGACTGCGGCTGTCGTATTTCCGGGTGGTTATAAGTCGAATAGGTAAGATGAGGAGTACCTGTACTGAATTAAATTTATAATTAAGCTCTATTTCTTCCATTATTTTATTTCCAAGTTATTTAGTGTACAAGTGCATAATATTTCGTCAAACTTTTGGAGTTTCTGAACATATACTACTGTACAATGGGTTTAGTTAAAAAGGGGAATGTGTTTCAATATTACAGAAATGTTTCACAGCTACTTACCTTCCACACTGTTCATTTATCAGGTCCGATTTCCCTTTCCCTCACATTGGTATCCTTGCATTTTGTCCAGTTATTCATCAGACTTCATCATTCACCCATTGTGATAATTTGGTCCTATGGCAGATTTTTTTTTATGCTGTCTAAAGAAACGTTCAACTGATTTACTCCAGACTTGAAGTGCTGATGTAGCGTGTATGAGGTTTAAATATTTACACAATTTATTTTTAAAAATCTTATTCATACCATTATTGCACTCTGTAGTCATACCAGACTTTGTGCCTCCATAGGACATCATTTATTTTTGTATTTGAGTTGTGTTCATGGAGTGCCATCTGTGGTTAAACTTAAACAATATTAAAGCTCCTACAGTTTAAAACCTCATAGCCAGAGGACAGCCAGTTGGCTGTTGTTCGAATATTCAAGCAGGTTATCAGACTTTTGTGGGTGATTGTATGTATCTAATTTGTTGAGGGAATAGTTATTATTTCTACTACAAATATTTTATATAATAATATTTGATTATGATTTACAGGCAATAACCTCTATGGGATATGGCACCATTGACAAAATCTACCTAGAGTATGAAAATTGCTGGTGGCCTAGTCATTGGGAAGGAGTACAACTAGTATGGACCAAAGATATTCCAGATTTTGAATGTGAAGCTCCAAATACATTGCGCATTGATGGTAGCTCTGAGCAGGTACGAAATGTGAGAATATTCTAGTGTAATATAATGGCATAATGTTGTTCACTAAACCTGAAGTGAATTACAGGTAAATGGGAAAATCACAGTGCAAGTTTAGTTCCATTCTATGACAGCTCAAATGAATTGGTTTAATTATTGCATCCACTTTTTATGAAATCTGGTCTTGACACTGAAAATGTCAAATTATCCTGTCCCCAATCTCTCGTTCTTATCAATGATCACATAGTGTGCTATGCTGGATCAGTTACTTTCTCTGTTAGAGAGAATTGGAGTGATCCTTCTGGTCCAGTCAGCCTGTAGGAAGTAACATTCAACTGAAACTGCCTTATATAAAATTCATAACAATTTGGTAATAGACACTTGCACAGGAAAGTCCTCCCTCCTGGTGTTGCTGGATACAGGTAAACCTTATTTCCGATGCGGTTAGATTCCTGAAAACCCCATCATAGGTCTGGTCGATTTGCAATTTGGAGTCCCACAAGTATCAGTTTTGTGACCACTTCTGTTTACAGTTTATACCAGTAGTCTTGCATCTCTGGTAGATGCTGCTGGTGTTGCCTATCATTTCTATGAACATCAGAACATAAGAAAATAGGGAGTCAGCAGTAGGCCAGTTGGCTTGTGCATGGCAGTTCCTGTCGAGAATTACTACCACTCTCTATCATCCATGAATCTATCCAGCCTCCTTTTGAAACTTTCCAGCGTTCCAGCACTTACTACAGGTGGCCTATCAAAAATCCGGCAACCTCGGGACCTGAGGAGTGCCGGATTTTTGAAAATGCGGGAAAACTGATGGTTATACAGTTAACCCTCACTTTACGCAGTCCCGCATTCCGCGTTTCCACGTTTACGACGTGCCTTGCCAGAACCTCACATGCTCACTTTACGCGGTACGTGAACCCCATTACGCGGAGAGTGTCCGGCGCTACGCTATTTTTAGATTCGCCCCACCCGCCACCCGCCCGCCTGCCTGCCTCTGCTCCTCGCCTCTCCCTCCTCCTCCCTCCGCTTGGGCAAGCGGCGCGGTAAGGTTGCTCAGTGTGTGTCTTTGTTGCGTTATCACTGACGTCATATGACGTATCAGACCTGTGATTGGCCATGCATCCCTACCCCCCTCTGCTGCTAGCTGTAATTGGCTTAAAGTATTATGACATGTCCACCCGGGGGAGGGAGGGAGGGAGGGAGGAAAGACGACGCTTGACCTAGCCGCGGCAGTTTCATTCCTCAAGGCCACACCGTGTAAACGCGCATCCATTGTTCCGTAAAATGGCTTCCGCCGGACCACCACCCCCAGAGAGAAACCTTTCCTTACCTGGACCCAGCGGCACTAAGCCAAAGAAGACACGACGTTCCTTAAGCTACGGGGTGAAGTATACCATCATCCAAGAGTTGGAGAAAGGAACAAGGCAGGTTGATTTGGCTCGCCAGCATGGTGTGAATGAATCTACGATTCGAACAATAAAGAAGGATGCAGCCAAGATAAAGGAGCACATGCAGATCACAAAGTCTACAGGTGCTTCTATGATCAAGTATTTTCACAACCAGGTGCTTCTCAAGACAGAAAAATTACTTGTGAGGTACTTGGTGCGTCAGGCGCGACGGAACATGGCGGTTGACACGCGCTCTGTTAAGGACTACGCACGTGAACTGTACATCACAGTGGCACGAAAGATGGGAATTACAGAGCCCAAACCCTTTAATGCTTCCTCTGGGTGGTTACAGAGGTTTAAGATCCGGAACAAGATCACCAATATAAACATTGGTGGTGAAGAAGCGAGTGCTGACCGTGCTGCGGCTAGGGAATTTCCTCCGTTTTTACGTGAGATTATGGAGGAAGGACAGTACAGTGACGACCAGGTGTTTAACATGGACGAATCTGGTCTTTTCTGGAAAAAGCTACCTTCCAAGTCCTTCGTTGTAAAGAATGCCAGCAGGATTCGGGGCCGGAAGATGCAGAAGGAACGCATCACCGTCCTGTTTACCACCAATGCCTCCGGTACCTGTAAGCTCAAGTTATCGGTGATCCACACAGCACGCAAGCCGCACGCCTACAAAACCATGGACATGACCAAGCTAAATGTCCACTGGCTGACCGCACGTAAGGCGTGGATGTTCTCTACACTGTCCCTCTCCTGGTTTGATGACTGTTTTGTTCCCGATGTAAAGAAATTCTGTGAGCGACAGAATGTGCCATTCAATATTTTGTTGCTGCTGGACAATGCACCAGGCCACTCGCCCCTACTGTTAGATCGTCACCCCAACGTAAAAGTGGTCTTCCTTCCTCCCAACACTACGTCTATATTACAGCCCATGGACCAAGAGTTAATCTGTAATGTAAAAGCTGCATTCTCAACAAAAAAATTCCAGCTCCTGAACGACTACACCAACACCAGGGAAGAGTTGCGTAACCTGAGTGACACCACCACCGATAGCAAGAGCGAAGAAGATGAGGATCAACAGTTGGAACAGCAAAAAATACTGTTCAAACAATTCTAGAGAGTATTTAACATCAAGAAAGCTGTGGACTTCTTGGTGGAGTCATGGGATCAGCTGTCTATTGCTGCAATTCGTCACGCATGGAGACATGTGTTGCATGGAATACCAGGTGAGAGGAGGAGTCAATCTGTGACTGGTGAGGTTCAGAATGTTGCAGTAGCAGTGGACCTTGCCAGAGAAGCTGCGCAGACTGTTACAGTTCCAGGCTTCTCCGAGACCACCAACGACGACATCCTGGAGGTGATCAGAGATCCTGAAGTGACTGCCGACGAGATGTTGGAAGAAGATCACGTCAGTGAAGAGGAGGAAGAAGGTGCGTCATTCTCCGAAGAACACAGTTTAACTCATAGTGATATTAAGGGTGCCATGGAGTGTGCAGAGAAAATGAAGTCCTTCCTTTCCCGCGACAATGACGATGACCGCTATGAAGTCTTCCATACCCGGCTGGTGCAGGCTATGGAGCCGTACATCACGGTGTATCACGACAACATAAACACCAGCCGTCAAAAAAGCATAACCGAGTTCTTCGCCCGCAACCCACCACAGCCAGCCCAAGCCAGTGATAGTGACAGTGAAGATGACTTTGAGGGATTTGTCAGGGAAGCCCTGACAACTGTAAGTGACAGTGATGGTGATTCACCTAGTAATGGTGATTCACCTGAGGGCCAGTAATCTGCCCTCTGCCTCGGAACCAGCCTCCATCCCCGTATGCCGACCCATCTCTACTACCGTAAGTGTTGCACCTAACTTTTAGCTTTTCTAACCTAACCTTTATTTTTCCTATGTTAACCTTTAGTTTTCCTAACCTAACCTCTTCTATATTACTTGTTTTTTCATACCATCATAAAGTTAAGATAAAATTTTTACTACAACATAGTTGTGTGTCGTCAAAAAGTGGAGTTTGGGGATCGGCCCGGACTCCATTTCAATTAATCCCATAGGTTATGTTATTCACTTTACGCGTTTCTCACTTTACGCGGGACCCTCCGGGTTACATTAACCGCGTAAAGTGAGGGTTAACTGTATTTGCTGTATAAGTTTAACAGAAAATGACTACCTGTACAGTCCTTTAAACAAAGAAAATTAAACACTAAATGAAAAGCAAATGAAATTTTATTATATATGCTGTATACAGTAGTACCCCGATTACGTACTCGGTCAATTGTCAATTGAACCCACAGGGTACCACGGAAAGTGAAAACCCGTAAAGTGAACAACAGAACATATGGGATTGATTCCAATAGAGACTGGCCCGACCCCCAAACTCCACTTTTTCCGACACAATACCTATGTTGTAGTAAAAATAACATCTAAATTTTATGATGGTATGCTCACACAATTAATATTTAAGAGAAATACAGTCGCCAGGTTAATGTCCATTCAAATAATGGACTCAAATCCCACCCCCCCCCCTCTTCACAGCTCACTGGCCCCTACCTCTCTGAGAAATGATTGGGTGAAACACTAGATTTTAACGTTTAGTAATAAATAATACATCAGACTTAAGTTAGGATAATATAATTGACATTGCTGGATTCCTTGTAAGACCAGGGATATTTTGAATATAAATGTCATATATTTTGCACAAAAGATAACATATTTACTCAGAGTTAACATTAGCTCTAAAATTTGTATGTCTAATGCAAAATCTATGATGTTTATATTCAAAATGATCATCAAATTGTAAGAATTCCAGCATTGTAAATTATATTCTGGCCGGGTAATTTGTATGAATTTTATGAGCTAAAACAAATATCTTCAGTTAATAAAAAAAAAATATTCTTTGAACCGCGCCAGATGGTCGGTCGGTCCCTCCCACCCCCCCCCCCCCCACCAACCCTCCCGACCAGAGAAATGTGTGGGAGAAACCAGAATACAGCTAGACCCCGACTTACGACTGCTTCGACTTACGACTGTCGGGACTTACGACATAGATAAATTTTTTTTTTTTTTTTTCCAAATGACGCACGCATTTTCTATACCGAAACGTTTCCAGTTAATGTAGTCTCCATGTATAATTGGAAAATTATGGGGGCCTCATGTGCATTCAGCTGACTACATTAAAGGTAAGTGCTCAGTCACACTGTATCCATTCCTCATTATTTATTAATTTCACTGTACTGTATCCATTTCTCATTATTCATTACTTTTACTGTACTGTATTTCATTGTAGATTTTTTATTATTATTATTTTATTTTATTTATTTTTTTATCCATGTCGGACTTACGACCTGGATTTGGGTCCCTAACCCCGTCGTAAGTCGGGGTCTAGCTGTATTTACGTTTTTAGTAATAAATAATACCTCAGACTAAAGTTAGGATAATATAATTGACATTGCTGGATTCCTTGCAAGACCAGGAATATTTTGAATATAAATGTCATATATTTTTCACAAAAGATAACATATTTACTCAGAGTAAACATTACATCTAAAACTTGTATGTCTAATGCAAAATCTATGATGCTTATATTCAAAATGATCATCAAATTGTAAGAA